ATACTGTGCACAAATTAAACAGGCCTGACAGAATTGTTTTGCAGCTGTTTCAATGCCTGGTGCAAACCACACTTTCAAAATTGTATCAACCAAGGCCCTTTAAGCTGTATGACTAGGGAGATGTGCCATGGAGCATAGGTAAGGATACATAGAAATAGGGGCACAAGGTCTCCCATCCTCATGGAGTCAAACACTTTTTTCTTGAGGCACCAAACACTTTTATCATTCTGATAACCCCGAGTCTTCTTACATCTACTCATTTCCTTTTGGGATGCTGAAGCTTGTAGTTTTCTCAGAATTTCTGTATCAGGTATACCTTGTAGGAAACACACTCTTTCATTTTCCTCTATTTCTGTCACCCCAACGGGTAACAATGCAGCCTCTTTAGCAGCTTCATCTGTTCTCTGGATAGGATAGGATCAATCCCTCTAGTGTGGGCTTTCACCTTCATTACAGCAATAGCAGCTGGTAAAGTATTGGTTTCTAACAATGTCTTTACTTGAGCAGAATTTTTTAAAGGTTTCCCCCGAGATGTCAGAAAGTTCCTACTTTTCCATAGAGCTCCAAAGTCATGTACAACACCATAGGCATAACGAGAGTCAGTATATATATATATATATTTACAGACTGATTTTCTGCCATGTGACATGCCTTTGTCAATGCTTCCAATTTTGCCACTTGTATTGAACAATGACTAGGTAGAGCATGGAACACAATTTTATCCTGATCTACTATAGCCATTCTCATGACAGGTTAGCCCTTGTCCATATAGTATCGTGAATTATCCACCCACAGTTCCATATCTGGATTTTTAAGAGCAACATCTGTAACTGTCCATGGAAGCTTCTAATATGCTTCTACAATACCGTAACAATCCATCCGGAGGGTCAGGCATGACAGACAGCAGAGTGGCAGAGTTTAACACATTACACCTTTTGATAATAACATTGCTAGATGTGAGTAAAGTCAGTTCATACATGGTTTTGGTTGCAGAGAGATGCTTAGTATTAATGTGATTAATCACCTGCTCTGCCGCATGAGGAACCATAAGAATTAAAGTATTTTCCAACACTATATATCTACAGTTTTTTTCCATCATAATGGCTGCCACAGCTCTAGCCTTGACACAAGGTGCTGCTGTACAGATGACAGGATCTAGAGGTTGAGAATAGTACCCCACAGACTTGTATTTGTCTGCATGCTTCTACGTCAACACTCCTGACGCCCGATTGTTTGCCTCATGACAAAACAGGTAGAAATCCTTTTTGTACTTAGGCAAGACTAAACGTGGGCATGTCATTATAACCTATATTAGGGTTTCTACAGCCTGTTTCTGTTCATCTGTCAGTTCAAAGTGTGTAACCTTGCTAGATGCCAATGCATACAAAGGCCAAGCAATCTGTGACATGTTTGGGATCCAAGTTCTGCAATAACCCACAAAGCCCAAAAATGCCCTCAGTGCCTTTTGATTTTGAGGCAGGGGATATGCCTTTATCACAACCTTTCACTCTGTTGTAAGATGTTTACCCCCCTTAAAGATACAATGTCCCAGGAAAATCACTTTTTCCTGGCACCATTGTAGCTTTTCTTTTGATATCTTACATCCCTGTTCTGCTAGGAATCATAAAAGACTCAAAGAGGCTTTCTCACTCAGTGCAGGAGTGTCTACAGCCAAACAGAGATCATCCACATATTGCAGTAGGGTGACCCCTGGCAGTGCCTGCCACTGATCCAACACCTATATATAAAAAATTAGGTGCAGCGCTAATATTAAAAGTATAAAGCATAAATACTGTGCAAAGAAATAAATGATAAAAATAATAACCAGCATTATAAATCAATATTAATCAATTGATATTTTTAAAGTGAAGGTAGTGCTGATTAAGGTGACCAACAAATTAGTGTTAGTAAATTTATAAAGTGACAAAGTATTCAATAAGGTGAATAATGTTGTAGAAAGTGTAAAAAGTCCACAAATATCAGTAGATGTGAAGTCCCAATACAGGATCTCAGGTTAGGAGTAATCCCCTTTTATCTTCTGGTGATAAATCAAATAATAGAATTGCGCACTCACCAGATGCTCAATAACATCACGCATTTGAGAACACAATAGCTCAGAACATCAGCTGGAATCCTCTTACAGGGCGTCTACAACCTGGTATGGATTCCTCCCTGAACTAACCGTGGGTAGCAGCAACTCCCATCTCCTCATCAAGTGGCTCTGTGGGTGGTTAGACTCATCAAGAGCCCAAGAAGGGATGCCAGAATAGAGTGATACTGCTTTAAGAGGGTTTATTATCCAATCACAGGTATAGGTAAACAACAAAGTAAAAAAACAGAAATTACTGGTCCCATCATTAGTGTCAGTGTGTGAGGAATAGTGCCCCATCATTGGTATCAGTGGGAGGAATAGTGCCCCATCATTGGTTTCAGTGGGAGGAATAGTGCCTCATCATTAGTGTCAGTGGGAAGAATCGTGCCCCATCATTGGTGTCAGTGCGAGGAATCGTGCCCCATCATTGGTGTCAGTGGGAGGAATCGTGCCCCATCATTGGTGTCAGTGGGAGGAATCGTGCCCCATCATTGATTTCAGTGGGGGAGGAATTGTGCCCCATTGTTGGTGTCAGTGGGGGGAGGAATAGTGCCCCATCATTGATGTCAGTGTGGGGGGGGAATAGTGCCCCATCATTGGTATCAGTGGGAGGAATAATGCCCCATCATTAGTATCAGTGAAACCAATGATGGGGCACTATTCCTCCCACTGACACCAATGACAGCTAACTTGATGCCTAGGTGCTGCTGCAGCCAGCATACCTGGTTGCAGCAGCACCATCTGCATGACACACTTACCTCCTTCATTCATTCCGGGCCGGCCGCTCCCTCACTCGATGTCCGCGCTGCCGCTCATCTCCGCCTGCTCTCCGGTGATTGGCCGCCTGTGTTACTTTCCTGAGCTACAGTTCTGGCGCCCAATCACCGATGAGGAGGTGGAGCTTGCAGAGGGTGTCATCCCGCCCACACATCGCGCCCCAGCACCGGACCTGTGGACCTCTCTACCCCTCCTCCAGCAGTGCTTCCTGGACTGGATCGTCATGGGACTGGGGCCGGAGCCAGGTAAGACACAGCAGCCCCCTGCCGCCCCTGTACTAAATGTCCCTTTCGTTGGAAGGGGGGGCCGCCCCTAAAAAGTGCCGCTCTAGGCAAATGCCTTGTTTGCCTCACGGCAAATACGCCCCTGCATTCACCATATCGAGCCCTCAGCTCTTGAGTCCCCTAATTTTAGTGCCTCCACCCAGCTGATTCCTCATATTGGCAAATCCCTGGATATTCTCCTTTCCTCTCTTTTGAAGTTGAGTAGGCAGAAGACTGGCCAAAAGCTTCTCCTTTCTATTTTTACACCTTTCTTCTACAAAGGTGTTTCCCTTCTGGCCCAAGGACAGAACACTCAGCTTCCCTCATACCTCCTTCACTTCCCACTTGAAAGAGGCACTTTCCCATCCCCAGTTGGTGAAACAAAAAGGATTATTTTGATTTCCCACATTTTGTCTGCCAGGTGTACTCCTTCCTACATGTTGCAGAACCATATGGGTTCACAATGAACCTTACCCTCCTGCTGCTGCTACCACTCTTCAGTTAGTGTAGTCAGCTACAGTTATGCAGGCCATAGACGGGTCGTTTATCGGACAAATTTTTGTCCGCACGAAAAATCGGCCAATATTCACGCTGTTAGTGGGGCCAGCCTGTCGGCCGTTTTTCATGGATCTTCACATTTTATTTTTTATTGGTCATGCTGGAAAATCCATGAAAAACAGCCGTTTTTCGTGGACATTGGTGGCAGCATCGGCAACGGGGCTGACCGATTTTTCGTCTATGGCCTGCCAAAGTCACTCACCCAGTGCACTGTAGTTTTACAAAGATTAGAGAGATGAGCCTTTCCTTCACTACTGAGACACCTATTACCCTACAGTTTTGTTCTCCCCCCTTCTCCTAACTGGCACAGACATCACTCACCATTTTACCAGGATGTTGTTAACATCACAAATGGAAAAGCCTCTTTGTCTCTCCAGACTTTAACCTCTTGCCGACCGCGCATAGCCGAATGACGGCTTCACCGCGGCCGGCCAGTTCTGAGTGGACGTCATATGACGTCCTCCCAGAACGCGCTCTCCTGCGCGCCCCAGGGGGCGCGCACCCGGCGATCTCCGTGATCGCTGTGTCCTACGGACACAGCTGATCACGTGATGTGGTGAAAGGCCGATCCCACCGGCCTTTTACCACGTGATCAGCGGTGTCCAATGACACGCTGATCACAGGGAAATGCAAGTGCCGGTTCTCGGCTGCACTTTCCTCACGCTGTCAGATCGTGAGGAAAGTACTGCCGAGAACCGGCAGTTGTCAGAGCGGGGATCGGCACCGATCATCAGGGCACTGATGATCAGTGCCCTGATGATCGGTGCCCAGCAGTGACACCCGCAAGTTCCGCCCAGCAGTGCGCCCACTAGCCCCGCCCACCCGTTCCCAGCAGTGCCCCCACCTGTGCCCAGCAGTGCCCCCACCTGTGCCCAGCAGTGCACCCACCCTGTGCCACTCTGCAGTGCCACCTACCTGTGCCCAGAAGTGCCACCTACATGTGCCCAGCAGTGCCACCCACCTGTGCCCACCCACCTGTGCCCACCAGTGCCACCCACCTGTGCCCACCAGTGCCACCCACCTGTGCCCACCCACCAGTGCTGCCCACCAGTGCTGCCCACCAGTGCCACCCACCAGTGCAGCCCAGCAGTGCTGCCAGTCAGTGCCACCAGTCAGTGCCCAGGGGTTGTGCCAGTCAGTGCCGCCAGTCAGTGCCCAGAAGTGATTCCAGTCAGTGCCGTCTATCAGTACCCATCATCAGTGTCACCTATCAGTGCCGCCTATCAGTGCTGCATATCAGTGCCGCCTATCCGTGACCCCTAATTAGTGCTGTCTATCAGTGCCGCCTATCCGTGCCACCTCATTAGTACTGCCTATCAGTGCCCTTTAGTGCTGCCTATCAGTGCCCATCAGTGCCGCCTATCAGTGCCCATCAGTGCCGCCTCATCAACGCAAATCAGTGAAGGAGAAAAAATACCTGTTTGAAAAATTTTATAAAAGAAACAAACTTTTTTTTTTCAAATTTTTTGCACATTTTTTAATTTATAGCGCAAAAAGTAAATTGCCCAGTGGCGATTAAATACCACCAAAAGAAAGCTCTATTTGTGAGAAAAAAATGATCAAAATTTCATATGGGTACAATGTTGCATGACCGCGCAATTGTCAATCAAAGTGCGGCAGCGCTGAAAGCTGAAAATTGGCCTGGTAAGGAAGGGGGTATAAGTGCCTGGTAGGCAAGTGGTTAAACACCACAGTTAGAGCAAATAATACACAGTAGTAGAAGGTGTCAACTATTACTCCTAATCCGGAGATCTGTCACCGGTGTGTACCTCGGACATGGCCTGCTGTGACCCCTGGATGATAGTACCTCCTGCCAAGTTCCTCTGCTTTAAAGGAGACTTGAATAATTAACTTCAGACAAGATAAGGCTCCGAATTATATTTATTGCTGCATATACGTACATAGGGAATACAGCATCCCTGCGTTCCACTGTCCATTGAGTCCTTCTCAGCTTATATAGCCCTTTTCATCAATGGCAACAGATCACATTAAAGGACCACATTGGAAGGCACTTCTAAAATATCGCACACACCTAATGGCACTATGACAATCCAGATATGTGTTCTGCAACAACTTGAAATATATGAAGTTATGAATAGAAGCATAAAATATACATAGCCATCATATATATATATATATATATATATATATATTTCAGTAAGGATCATAGTTATCCCTATACATAACCACATCATCACATGCTGCACATAGCTTGTGCAGAGAGCAGAGCTGTTGAGGAGATCCAGCAGGCCCACTCGCTACAGGCAGCAGGGCCAGCACCAGCACAAGGCAGTTTAGTCAGCTGCCTTAGGGTGCCAGGATTGGGGCGCACTAAAGCCAAGGTCCCTCATGAAGTGTTTTTGCTGGCGCTGACTCTGCTTACACCTTCACCCAGCTGAGCACAGGTCAAGCATGGCGCACAGTGACAGCCATGTGAACACTTTGAACTCCAGCTGCTTCATCCATACTAACCTCCACCTGCTCTTCCAGCCCCTCCTCATCCTCCTGTCTCCTAGATGAAGGGCAAGCAAAGGTCTTTGGTTTCGAAACACTCAAATCCACCCACTTCTCTCCTTTCAGCTCACACAATGAATAACAACCTGGGCATAGAAGAAGCACTAGTGTAACATGAAGACAAAGGAGTGGGAATGGCACAATGGTATCCATCAGCCTCAGAGGAAGGTATGGCAAGGTGCTTTATTTACCACCTGTCTGACTGAACTTATTATATAGGCTGCTGTCATGTATATCATGGGGACAGAGCAGGAGAGATAAACAGATGAGGACAAAAATGGGGACTTAGATTTGGACATAAGGGCAGAGTAAGGGACATAAGGGGACATGATGGGGGCAGTCAGAGAAGAGGAGATGGGGACAAAGGAAAGAAGATGGAGACAAAACAGAACACATGGTTAGATGTGGACAGAGCAAGGAGATGGGAACAAAGCAGGGGACATGAGCAGAATGGGGCAGATGGGGCATTTAGAGCAGGAAGCATTGGTATAGTCACAGTCTAGATTGCCAATCTGTAAATTTATGTACAGTTTGTAAGAAAAGGGTGCTTTTCTCCTGTCCATAAATGTCCATAGATGGGAGAAGAGTACCCATACATTTTCCAGCTTTAACCTGGTTCTATTCTGTGCATGTGAAGTTCTGGAGCTGGCCGATTATTAGATAGCTGGGCTCGTCCTGACTTGAGCAGTGGAATAGGAACGGGAGGGTGCATATGGCATCAATACGCTTGGCACCTCTTTTTAGTAATTTGAAGAAGATGGGAGGGAGGGGGAGGAAGGACCAACAGCCTGCCTGCACTTGAACCAGCCTGCAGTGCCCTACAGCCCTCTTTCTGCTTGGTCTTTTTCTTTTTTCTGTAAGTTAAACAAATACTCCGACCAGAACCACTAGACAAAAATCCTTCTACCAGTCCTGACAGGCTGCCTGCAGGAAACCACAGGAGGTGGAGGAGACAAGGCCAGTCAACCTGCAAAAGCAGAGATAGCAGCAGGGACTGGACTTTATTACAGGAAGCACCTACACCGAGGCAAAGATGACTGCACAGATCTGGGAGTAATACAAAAAGCACATCAAGATTCAAGTGAGGATAAAATGCCTCTTGTACTTAGAGAATATTCTCTTATCCCTGAGTTCAGATTTAATACCTACTTCAGAGCAGTACCATGATTAATGAATAGGTGGATTAGAAACTGTAAGTACTGCAAAGACATGTTTCCACAGCAGATGGTTCATTAATGCCCAGTGTGGAGTTATACCAGCTGCCTATAAATGTACAGAAGAAAACCCAAACTAAAAAAAATGTTCTTTATTCTCAGAACAGATAGGTTGTTCCCAGGAAATCTTACTGTAATGCACCATCTGATGTAATCAATCAAACAATGTGATCATTATTATAATGAAATGACTTTTATTATACTTTTTACAGCACCATGCTGTAGTATCTGGGGTTATTGCTATAGAATACATAAAATATTAATCAGACCACAAAACCTTATATGTAGAATCTCTATGGATATTTGTAATGATATCTAGCTTGTTATAGAAATTTAGGTCTGGTTTTTTATGACATATAAATCTATGCTATATAGCCACACGGAGCAAAGTAAAAATAGACAATGGAAGGAACACTTTGCAGTAGCAATATTTTTTTCTCCAATTTTACAAATGCTCTCTATCAAGACACTATGCCATAAATCTTGACAGTTTTCCTTTATGATAATGTTGAAATATTTCAGGAAACATTTTTTTAATACCTTTTAAATGTGGAACTAGAAAGTAAAGAAAGTAAAAACTTGCCAGCAGGACAGAATCCTTTATGTTGGTATCAGCTCCTTGGTGATTTAATTAACACAGTTAAAGTGAATCTCAAAAAGTGAATGTTATGCTCTATTGTAGGAAACTTAAAAGTGAATTGTACCTAGGAAGTATCATGAAAAGTTTATACTTTTTGTTTCATAAAAATAACAGTGAACTTCCTGCAGCTTAGCACTTCTGTGCCTAGGCTATCCTCTGCGTTCAATATCATAACTGTATACAGTTGTGGCCAAAATTATTCAACCCCCACTGAAATTGAGTGTTTTGGCCAGTTTGACAATTATCAGTCATCATCTTGCTTACATTTACATTAAAGAGGCACTTGTAGGTCAGACAAATATAACATAACAGTTTTAATGAAATAACAAATGTCTTTTCTGTGCTCACAGCATTATCAGTTTTATTCAACCCCCTATCTTAGTACTTAGTACAGCATCCTTTTACAGTTATAAACAGCTTTTAAACGTAAAAGCATAGCTTGACACAAGTGTCTTGCAGCGATCTACGGGTATCTTCGCCCATTCTTCATGGGCAAAGGCCTCCAGTTCAGTCACATTCTTAGGCTTGCGCACTGACAACTGCTTTCTTTAAGTCCCACCAGAGGTTCTCAATCGGATTTAAGTCTGGTGACTGCGATGGCTCTCCAAAATGTTCCAGCCTTTCCTCTGCAACCATGCTCTAGTGGACTTGGAGGTAATCATTGTCCTGTTGAAAGGTCCAACGTCTCCCAAGCCTCAGGTGTGTGAACTGCATCACGCTCCTGGTACTGAAGAGAATTCATGGAAACCTTGCACACGCTGAAGCTTCCCTGTACCTGCAGAAGCAAAACAGCCCCAAAGCACTGATTGACCCTCCACCAACAGTAGGCAAGGTGTTCTTTTCATCATAGGCCTTGTTCTTCCTCCTAAAAACATAGCGTTGATCCATGGGCCCAAACAGTTCTAATTTTGTTTCATCAGTCCACAGAACACTATCCCACAACTTTTGTGGTTTGTCCACATGGCTTTTGGCATACTGCAGTCGACTCTTCTTATTCTTTGGAGACAGCAAGGGGTACGCCTGGGAGTTCTGGCACGGAGGCCTTCATTTACGCAGTGTGCGTCTTATTGTCTGGGCTGAAACTTCTGTACCCACATCTGACAAATCTTTTCTCAGTTCCTCAGCAGTCACACGGGGACTTCTCTCCACTCTACGCTTCAAGCAGTCGAAGTCAGCATCTTCTTTCTGCCACGACCAGGTAGCGTTTCAACAGTGCCCTTTGCCTTGAATTTGCGAATGATGCTTCCTAAGGTGTCTCTTGGTATGTTTAACATCTTTGAATCTTCTTATAGCCATTGCCCTTCCTGTGAAGAGAAATCACCTCTTCTCTTGTCTTCTGGACCATTCTCTTGCCTTCACCATGTTTGAACCACACCATAAATGTCTAGAAGAGCTGAGTATCACAGTCATTTTAAAGCTGCCTAATTGGTGCTTATTATGCTTGATTGCTGCTCGGTGACATCCACAGGTGTTTTCAATACCTGATGGAAAGCACCTGTACCTCTGTTCTTCAGAGTGGTAGTCTTTAAGGGGTTGAATAATTGTGGCAATGAAGAAACCACATAAGAACCATTTACTACTGTATTACATAAACAATTGATGTCATTTTAGTTGCATTTGGGTAGTTACAACGTCCTTGTGATTTGATTCTGAATACAATTCCAAATGTAACTATAGTCCCTAAACCCCTTTACAGCATTGGGGGTTGAATAATTTTGGCCACAACTGTATGTGCAGTGTGAAACATCTGGGACTGGGAGTGATTGTCTGCTGTGCACTGTTCTCCTTGCTGGAGTGAAAGCTGCAGAATAAGTTCTCATTTTGAGGACCTGTACTTTCTCCACCTCTCCTACTGTTGCAGCTTGATTATCTCTCCATCAGATCACCAGTAATCAGGGGCGACAACTCTAATATATTGAAGGAAAGACCTGCCTTGTACAAAGATGACTGCCACTACACAAAGACACAGTGCAAAACCAGGAATGGTAAGCCAGTAATGGGGAAA